ATGGTATTCAGGAACCTTTTTCTACAATGTTTCTTCATTTACAAAATGGCAAATTTGACCATTCGAACAGATTATTCCACAGTATAGCTGAAGCTTGGGAGGGGTGTCAACGGGACACTCACGACGTTAAGGTATGCTCATCATCGGGATTTAAAAATCTTGTTTTTTATTCATGAAGGTTTCGTTGATCATGTTACGAGCGAGTTGTTCTGCAAAAATTAGATGAATAAATAAACAGTTTAGGAGCTAATTCCTGAGTTATTCTACATGCCGGAAATGTTGCTGAACGGCAATGGTTTCGATTTGGGAAAGCGTGATGATGGATCCACTGTGGGGAATGTTGTGCTACCGCCGTGGGCGAAAAGTGCTGAACGCTTTATCGTCCTTCATAGACAGGCTTTGGAGTCTGATCTTGTCTCTTGCCAGCTGAATCAGTGGATCGATCTTATTTTTGGTTACAAACAAAAGGGGCCAGAAGCGGTACGCCTGTCTCGTCTCTCTCGTATCTCGTCTCAGTCAAGTACAAAAATTCCTAACTTTTTCTTTTTAGGTCCGTGCGACAAATGTGTTTTATTACTTGACATATGAAGGCGCTTTAAATTTAAACTCGATTGAAAATGCTACAGTTAGAGAGGGGTTGGAACAGCAAATGATATCATTCGGACAGACCCCTGCTCAGCTTATGACTGAACCACATCCGCCTCGTCATTCTATCATGACTGTGGTAATTAGCTGTTTGGCAAAATACTCTACCAATTCAGTTACATCAGAATTAATAACTTTTTAATTTAGAGTCCTACGGCTTTTCAACCGTGCCAAGACGACTTGTGTATGCTGATGAAATTCATTTCGAATAGTGCCGTGGTTCATCTTAGTGCCAATACTTTTGTTCAGCTCCCAAATCCTACTGTACTTTCGATAGCAAACAACCTTGTTTTCGCCTTGAACAGATGGAATCACAATTATTCAGGTTGAATTGTAATGCCTTGCTAAAATGCTGAAATATGAATCAAAATCTTATATTTAAAAAAGTACTATTAATTTTTGGAAAAAATTTCTGCAGGACCGAACGCTTTTTCTTCACCTTCACTACCGTCGCAAGATGGCGGGCTTTCAGAACATCCGAATGGACTGCCATTCAATTTGCCTCTTACGGTAGATCCACTTTTAGCTACAGGTGCTATCTTCTTGCAGATCTACTTAGTTTAAATTGCTTCTTCTGAAGTTTGACGTCTGTATTCTTCAGGAAACCCGTCTCAACCGCCGCAGCGTCGTCACCTTGGTGACGCGTTTGACCAACGTTTGAAAATACGTTTTAATAACTTTGTAACTACTGTAGACAGTCGCTCAATTATTGCTTGCGGTTATCCTGATTACAGCTTTCGTGTCATTGATACAGATTCAGGTACTCTTTAATATCGTGTTTCTAACTGCCATGCTTTTCCATTTTACTTTATTTGTGTTACAAGTTTCTACATTCAATACTTGCAAGTTAAGCTCGCGTACGACAAGTGATATATGGCCACGGGGATGTGGTTACATGCCTTGCAAGGTCTGAAGCTAATCTTTTTTCCGATTGTTATGTCGCATCTGGGAGCTTAGACTGCACAGTCGTTCTTTGGCACTGGAATGCTCAAAGTCAAGTTATTGCAGGAGAATACAATATGCCTGGTTTGGGATCATTTATTTTTTTTGCTTTTGAAGGATGCAAATATTTAGAATTCAAAAAGCATTAGGTTAGTTCTGTGAGTGCTCAGTAATTAAAGGCGAACCTGCAGCAGCACGAGCCATATTAACCGGCCATGATACTCCAGTAACCATAATATTTGTTTCTGCTGAACACGGTCTTGTATTGTCTGCTTCATCAGGTCATTTGAGTTTTTTCTTACAGCATTATTCAATTTCTGATATTGAAACAAAAAATCAAAATCACGCTGATTTCTTGTTTTCGTAAATCAACAAAAAAAATTTTTTTTGGATTTTTGAAATCACATCGTGAGTTAAAGGCTTTTAGATGGCACAATTTTGATTCATACTACTCAAGGTGATCTTTTGCGCCGAATTCAACAGGATGTTGGAGACGAATTGTCTATGAAAGGAGTAAATTTACTGCTTATGTCTCGAGATTGCTACATAGCTGCTCTTTATGGAGCGAAAGACATAGTTACTTTTACTACAACTGGTCGTCAGTTATGTCATATCAGGTTGGATTTTTTTTATTTTTAAGCATTTATTGTGCTGTTGTTTTTTTAGTGAGCTTTTTAACTAAGCAGCTTAAATCGTTTGTGATTAAGGTCACCGGAAACTGTACTTTGCGGTGTGCTTTCTCGAGACGGTGAGTACTTGGTGTTGGGCAGCGAAGAGGGACGAGTTTCTATATTGCGGTTATTCCCTCTCCAGTTACTGTACACTTTTCAGGTTTATTGTTTTTTAATTATTGTCAGAACTTTTAAAAACGATTTCGTTGACATTAGTTCCTCACTAAAGTACCTCCAGTTATAAGAGCAATTTTTACAGCAGACGGACGGTGCCGTTCGTAGTGTGGCACTGTCGACTAACCAGAAGTTCGTTCTTGCGGGCTTGGACACAGGTGCAGTAGTAGTTTTCAACGTTGATTTTAACAAATGGCACTACGAGTACCAACATCGCTATACAACTCGTTAGACTTAATAGTAAATCATGTTTGATTGCTAGCAAATTTGGACGGCGAAGAAAAAGATCTTTAAGATTTTTGCTTATTGGAACTTTTAAAATTTTAATGTCATTGTGAAGTTACTTGTGAAGGTTACTGATTGTTATAGTGTTTTATTCTTTTGCTTTCTTCGTTCTAGAACAATGATTCTATGATTCTATAATACAGAATTTAGTTTCAAAAAATTTTTTGTTTTTGGTAATTGTTGTGATAGTTTATGTCTTGTTATACATTGTATGAGCTATTTAATTCAAATCACTGTAATTATTGGCAGGTTGTGATGATTGATTCAAGTGGTGTTTATTTTTACGCCTCTTTTTTGCACTTTTTGCTCATCGTTTTTTATTTACCTTTTTTTAAACTTTAGTATGTCGGAGTTGCAGAAGTCTTTATGAAAATTTAGTTAAGTGGTTGAATCTGTAAAGTGCCTGAGCTGATTACAGGAGGAACATCTTGTAATTTGATTCACTCCCTATTTTATCTTAAAATATTTTTTTGTGGGAAGGTGCTCTTTAAATTCTGAAATATTTTTACAGTCATGCATAATTATATTTAAGTGAGTTTGCTACTTTTTTGGCTCTCGGCAACTGTTGTTTTACACCCATGAATTGTTTTCATGAAGAAGATTTTGATGCGAAAATTTTGCCGTATTTATAGGCATGTGTTTTTTATGTGCGATATTCTTTTTTTGCTGATGCAGCTGTTGCTTCTCTCTTGTTTGTTGTTTTGACACTTATAGGTGTGTAACTTATTTGTTATCATTTCTCTACTACATAATTCTATGAAGGGTGTTGTTGTCAAGAACTGTTTTTGCACTTAACGATTACTGGGCACCGCATGAGTCTGACTGTTAGGTCCGTTAAGCTTTCAAGCTGACAGTAGTTTCCCAAAACTTGCCAGAGCTTCGATTTCAAATTTTTAAGAGTGTCATTCTGTTCATATTATGAAGAAGAAATGGCAGGTATTGACAAGGAAAATCCTGGTTTAATTGTAAGTAAGTTTCCTTTTGTGTAGCCTTTAAGATATTAAGCAAACGAAGTGAATATTGATATTTGGGTTTATTTTTGGGTGGTGAGGAAAACCGAGAAATTGACTAATTTGTTTTGAATTATTATTCTGGGTATCAGAAGTAAATAGATATTGTTGTACGCATTATTCCTGTAGCTATTTGATGGATGCTTAAGCAGTTGTGCGAGCAGTTGATTTTGAAGATATTGGTACCAAAAAAAAGCCATCATTTGGGAATTTTTTGTAACAGTATACAATTAGAGTGACTGGGTGTACTATTTCTAAACATAAATTTAGGATATTTTATTCTGCAATCACACTGGTGGATAACAACTGGTTGTTTTAGACAACATTGGTATAATTGGTATGGTAAGACGATTGGAAATTGTTTTTGAGTAAGTAGTGGTTTAAGGAACTGTATGCAGTAATTGGGGAGCGTTTTAAGCTCTGCCGTGCTTTCTTCCGTTTAAGATGGCAGTTACCTATTCGCTTTTTCAGCAGAATGGACGGTTTTACAATTTCTAGTTCTGTGTTTTAATATTAATTGGACCGGAACGTATGTGCCTAAAGCAGTTCTTTACGGTAATTAGTATATAGGCGACACAAGAAAGAATGCGTCAAGTGTCGCATGATTGGTTATACAAAGAGATGTTGATCGACTATCGTTTTGTTGCCATTAATCATTTGCTGCACCGGCAACAGATTTCCGTTTGTAATACCGCAATAAAGAAGATCTGATGAGCACGCGACATTAGAAACCGTTCAAATCGAAGGACATAACCTCTGAGTTCAAATGAACTTCGAAATGCGCGATAAACGATGTTTGATGAGCAATCCCATTTCTTCCACGCCACAAATACTGAACGGATGAATTAAGAACTGTTCACCAACTTTATCGGTGTACTTTGAGGTTTTCAAAAAGGCAAATTTTATTCTCTTTGGCTTCGGATGAACAGTTCTGACAAATTTGAACATTAATTTAGTGAACACGGTTTGAATTTTTGAAAATAACATTAAGCAGTTTATTCATTTACCTCTCCAATTAGTACAAAGTCTCTTGCTTTTGATAGTCATGCAGGGGTGGTGCTAGGCCAATCTTGAGCCAGCAAAGAAGATGATGGGCTAAATTATAGAAAGCTTCTTTTTTTCTAAATGCTGTACACGAATCAATCGTGCATTTTTTTTCCAATTACGATAGCAATAAAATTTCAAATTAACGCTTTCTTATTATACTGTAACCGCATTCGCCTTTATTATGTGATCGATATCACAGCTGTATAACAGTCTGCACTCCCGAAGATCAGTTTTGGCGGTCAAAAAAAAGACAGAAAATAAAAAATTTTACGGTGATTATTCTTCTCAGTCTTTACAACTAACTTTAACACCAACAACAGTTTTTAACATGTGTAGGTGAGAAAACAGGTGAAGAAGCTGTTACAGTTAATTTGTTAATGATTATTAAAAGTTCTTATAATTAATTGTTTAGACAGCAATTCTGTGTCAGTTGCCGAGAAGGCTAAGCAAAATCAGTTTTGAGAGTCAACCAGTAATTTGAGAGCAGTTGAAAAACAGTGTAAAATCTTTTCAGAAAAACATTCTAAAGTTTTGAACAAAAATAACGCTCTTTTAGGACTTGCTGTTCCTTTATTTAAATTACGGTATGGTGGACTGCCACAGATTTCTTGAGTACCGATTACATTTTTCCATATTGGTAAACAAGTTAAAGCTTAAAATTTCGAAATTTTTTTCTGATTTTTTTTTTTAAAAATTTCTGATGTCAAGCTGCTTGGAAAGATGAAAAAGTTGCCAACGACTCTTTAGACATATGACTGTTTTTTGAACAGTAGCATTAACCACCATCAAGTAACAACCATTAACTTTTGATTATTTGATTATAACTGTTATTTACTGTAGTAACTTTAGTCGTTTCTTGATCAAATAGAGTTCAGGAAAGCATACAAATTGATCGCATTAGCTGGGAACGCTGGAGATGCACGTAGCACTTGGGTTTTTAAACCACCAGTTTACTCTCCATCCGAAAAATGTGTCGATCAGTAAAACTAGTTGAACAGACAACGAAACAAACGTAACTGTCAAGACACGTCAAAATAGATAAGAATGAAACAGTTGTAGTGAGATCATTAGAATCTTTGGCATTATTACAAAAGTTGTCAACCGTAGGTAATAATCAGTCAAGAATAAAGTTAAATCTTAAATACCCGCTTTGATACCTATAATGCTTTGCTTTCCTTTCAATAGTGCAACAGCAAGACATTTACCGCACTTTACAAAAAAAGGCTTATACAGTCGACAGACAAATAGTATTTTGCTTGCCGAATCATTAAACATACAAAAGTTGCAATTTTTTCTCAGAAAGTGCAAAGGACAAAAATTTGAAAGCTTTTAGAAGGTAGTGAAGAAAGACCACCAAAAGTTAAGCAGAAATTATGTCATTATTTTCTTCTATTAGACTTGAAAACAGCTTAAATAATTTACATTTTTTTATATATCAAGAAAATTTTGTAAATCAAAACCTAACAACAAATTCTGAGCGTCATTACATTAGTTTATCACGAGCTGAGAAACAGCATCTTGATGACACTCATAAGCATCAGTGTAAAAATATATACTTAAAGAAATGCGTGATAAAAAAAGCCACTAATTGTTAATTGTCATCTATCAGAAAAGGTAGAAAAAAGTCTGCATGAGATAACGAATAAATCAGGTACCTATAAATACGGAAGAACAAAACTGATAAGTACAATTACATTATATCCAATCCGACTTCTCTTTAGTTTAACAGCGTCCCAATCTTGAGCTGAAATTTATAAAAATTGTGATATCCAAAAAAAGTATTAAAACATGAGATACACAAAAGACAATTTATGACCGGTTAATTTTGGTGTCATTCGAAAAACGAGATAAGTGCAAAATCCTACATTAATTAGAATTGAAAAAGAGTTCTGATTCCACATTTGCAATTGAACTTAAAATCGCGTCTCTTCTTCGATATCTGAAAAACAAACTGATCGTCACTGGAATTCCTGAGTGCTAAACTTTCTTACACTAGTAATACTGCTTACAAATGACATTTAATAATGACAAAGATAGAAAATTTAACAATTTAACATATAAAAGTCTAAGGTACAATAATCAAGTAAATTTCGTTACATTTTCAGTTGCCTTATGCTGTCACAGTTCTTATGACAAATATAATAAAATAATTAGTTTAACATTTCTGCAACTTATTGAAAAGATTATCGCCAGTCTTTAATATCGATTAATTCAGAAAACTATGCAAAGACAGAAGAAGTAATTTTTGCCGGTATTCAAATCCCAGAAATCAGATGCTAAAAGGATCAGAAATTGGCATTACTGCTTAAAATGTACCAATAACGTAACTCAAACGTTATCAACTGGCTACACACTGGACTATTTCTATAGATAATACGCCGACATTTCTCAATGTGAGCGCTCGTAGTTAACAACTTATATCTAACTGATAGAGACATAAATGGCTCCCAAAAAATCTGTCTATACACTCAGTCTTCATGCTTTCCCCCTACATCATCAAATAGATAAAGTTAGTTAAAATAAATTATGCTGTTCTCCATCACTCGAAGGTTTTTTTTATAAAAAAAGGTTTCAGCATACATTTTCCGAACGAAGAACATAAAAAGAATTGAAATAATAAACCTTGCTACTAAAAAAGTCATAAAAGTTTTTTTAGTTTCAATAAAATGACAAGTTACTACTGCTTATTGTAATAATCCAGTCTTCCACAGTCCATGATAATTTCAAAAAAAAAAAAAAATTTACTTTTGGGAAACTGCAATATTTACTATTGGGAAACTTCGTTACTACTCTTTCTGTAAACAGCTTGAACTAGGTCTAAAACCAAATTTAAACAGAAATAAGTGCAAAAAAAAGTTTGAAACTTAACCTTCAATTTGCAGAATATTCGTTTCATGACTACACAGCTGCAGAGTTGAATAATTAATGTATAACTGCAACATATAATCACGAACGTAGCAGGTAAAAACATTGAAATGCAGCTTAAATTGAGGCAGAAATTCAAGGAGGCTTTTTTTCCGTTGAAATACGAAAGGTACCAAGCCTTTTGATATTGCCAGCACAGAAAGCTCGTAAATATCTATCGCAGCATACACAAATAAACGGATCCCAAACGAAACGAGCAAGCCAAAGAGATTCAGCAAAGACAGATACTTTTAAAAGATCATATAATGAGGTTGCAATAGAAGCCATTTCCATGCACAGTAACTCACTTCCGCTTAATGTACCATTTTTCGGCAAATTTTCGTAGTTTTGAAGCCATTTAGTATTCCTCTGATTCCACAGTGGCGGCGATACAACTGCAGCAATCATTAAAGCACACATTAAAGACCAGACCAGAATACTCATCGATAGCCTTAATGAACTATTCAAATGAGTCAAATATCGGTTATCTGACCTTCCCGCACGAAGCTTCACGAGAATAAACAGGACACCAATATATTGAGCGAACACTGAGATCCACAGTACCAGTATAAAGATTGCATTCCCAACAGCTACAGCCATTACTCGATCAGGATTACCCAGTGGTGTATAAGTGATTAGCAACTGAGGTTTGTCAAATTCAATAGTCAGAAACGGTGTTGTGCCTAATCTGTAACATAAAATACTGTAACAGATCCCTAGAACTATGCTTGTCGTCAACAGCGTACAGCAAAACCTTGTGGTAACTCTTGTCCGATAGAAGAATGGAAAGCGAACAGCAATGAACGTAATAAAAGATAGTAGTGCGTAGGTGTTACAGAGCATCCAAAAATTAAACTGAATAAAGGCACTCAGAACTGGAGTACCAAATGGAACAAAAACTACGGTGCCATCCGCAACAGTAACGTTTTGACCTTTGTCAGGTCTCTGACGCCTATAGGCTACTACAGTTAGCATTGACAGGCAAGTGATTGTGTCAACACATGCCCGGCACAGCAAAAATAAATATCGGTTTTTTGTTCCACTAGAAAGTATTTGTCTTAATATAATTATAGTTAAAATCAAATTCGTCACTGTACCAATGCTAACCGTTGGTATAACAGCATCCCCAAAAACTTCAGTTAAATTTGTTATTGAATCACCGGCTTCTTGGATTCTTTTGTTTGTTCCTGGCGAACAGAAACTCTTAACGTTATTGTTGCTACTTCCAAGCAAAAATCCAGTTGCAATAGGCCTCCTGAGAAAATAAATAATTGTCGGCACACGTAGCCCAGACATAATTAAATCTTCTAATTCTGGAACAACTTGTAATAGTTGCTGCTTCCTTTAACGTTCCGCTCTTCGATCAGACTTGAATGACAACGACCAAAACCTGGTTTACAGCCCACCACTGTCAGTGTAACAATGCGTTAAGACACTGATTCCTTATCAGTGTTCTTTTTTACTCAAAAGTATAATAGGCTTATTGCTTTCGGTTACAAAAACTTTTCTGATAGCAATTGTTCACGAATTTTTAGAATTATCTCAATGTTTTTTGATAGCTTTTCCAGTATCATCTTGCTTTTTCATCTTTTTTTAAAATTTAGCAAAACTAAAGCGTATACTGTGTAATTTTTAGTTCGAATTTCCAGCACACTCGTTTTGCTCCCTCATTTTTCAGTAAAATACCGTATGACCTAACCTCACAAAGCATTCTAAAACAATCGAAGACAAGCCAAGGCAACCAACTTTTTCTTGAATGATCATACGATGAAATGTATTACAATTTGGTGAAAGAATTCATGAAAGAAAAGCCTTGATATCGAACGACAATGAAAGTACGGTAACAGCATAACTTACATATTTTTCACCATTACTTCATCTATGAGATTTACCGTGGCTTTCCAACTGATTACTTTTTTCAGACATCATAACTGTATTCAACTCTTCATATTAAATGAAGCACTTTCGAAAGTGACTCACTTTTTTCACGATTCTATGGTTTCTTTCATTTCTTCCTGAAACAATAGAACAAAAAAAATGCAACTTCTTCAACCAATTAAAATTGCAGCCTAAAAAATTGAACATCGGAATTGTCCTACTAAAACAGTTTTATCCTTCACGCCTATTATACGCCATCCTTCACCGATTTCTGAAAACAGATTTCTTAAAGAACATTCCATGTTTCTTTGATAAAACTCTTCTTTCAGTACTTGAAATGCAAAAAGAAAGACGAAAAATAAACCATGTAAAATTTCTGACGAATAATTTAAAGACATGAAGAGCAGTCATATAATCCCGCCCTCTCTAGAAAAAAAAGCAGTAACTAGCATATTCAAAACTCCATCCCCTCACTAAACATCACAAAATTTTGCAAGCCAAAAAAAAGCCAAATTACTGTACATCACCTCCTTTCGGCCACTCTTAAAGAACTAGAAAAATGGAAAACTAAACCACAACCTCTTTATCCATAAAGTAATAGACGAAAAAGGCAAATTATTATTATCCCATCTCCCACAAAAACCCTGAGCTTAGACGCATTTAAAAAGCAGTCCTATCTTGAAACTTTGACAACAAACCCTTAATATGTTGCCACTGTAGACTCTTCACAAACAGAAAGTTGTAAATGTAACAAACATTTTTACGAGCATCAAACTGGTGATAACATCTAAGTAAAGAACATTAAGATATCACCGACAACTTTAATGTTTGTAAAAAACGTTGGTCACCACTTGTCAACAACTGCTGAAGTCATCATCAATCAATAAATGGTATCAAAAAAAGATAGTAAAAAAATTCTAACAAGACCTTTAATTTTTTACCAAACATTTTCGTCTAATTTTAATACATTTTTTATAATCAAAAAACTTTATTCAGCTAATTATAGCTAAATCCTATCGAAAGCTAAATTTAGATGACACCACCACTTCTAAAACTGCCATATTAATAAACAATAAATGTAACAGTTACCGTTAAGCACAAGACTTTCAAAATACAGCCATTTTAAAAGCGAAAACCAGTTTAACAATAAGCTTTCAGGATTCCCTAACAACTGCACTTCAAGTGCTTCTAAAACGCTACTTATATAAACTAATTTAAAATTACGACTGTTTCCTCGTAAGATAATACAATAGTTCGCGAAAATTTAACTGAGAAAAATTTAAATAGCTGTTGTACATAAATAAAAAGAAATAGTTTTCCAAATTTCTCCATTACAAAAAAACAACATTCCTTCCGTGCAGTACTGTATGATAAGGTCTCCTAAAGCAGTAATGATCTAATGTCAATAGATCTTAATTATCCCCCAAACTTCTTCTTCTTTTTCAAAGCTACTGATAATTGTATAGGTTCCCCAGGTGAAGTAGACGACTGTTCCACATAGTTTTTTGACGGTGCATCTCCGCTGTAAATAGGCGACGTAGCTAGGTCTTCTTCAATACTATCCAGTAAACTGTTAAGTTCTTCGATTTCCATCTGAAAAAAGTTCAAAGTTACTAAAAAACGCCGAAGGATTAAAAATAATGTAATAAGTACTAAGTACTTTTGTTGTTTCTTCAACATCAGTTCTAGACTGTTGTGGTCGATGTGCCTCAACAATAGCGGCAACCTGTTCTACGAGATCTCTATCCTCCTCATTTTCTCGGTCAATCCACGAAGTGCTGCTTTCTGGACCAATATGTACAACGCCTTCTTCCTTAAAGTTTTAAACTCCTGATATGTTTTGGCGCTAGAGATTACAAGTACAATATGCCAAAACAAGAAGCAATAAAAGAATCACCGTAACTAAAACATTTTCCTCCCTAGCTTCAAAACTGACAGTACTTGTCTTGATTGCAGGAGCAATCAGTTCGTTTGGATTACACTGATTAGATGTCAGAACCTCCAGTGATATCAATCCAGCAAAACCCGCTATTTCTTTTTCTCCTGATCTGAATAAGATCAATGCCAATTAATTTGGAAATTTCTAAATATTAAATTCTTAGTCTTTTTAATGCACCTTCTCAAATTGCTATCAATAATCACAGAAGATATCAATTCAGTGACATCGATCGCACGTCGAATTGCATAATCAACGCATTTTACCATCTGCAATGAAACTTTTGAAAAGCAGACGAACAGATGCAAGAAAAGTTCCAAATAAGTTCCAAATATCCATCGGTAAAATTTTGAACAAAGTAACCATCACTTCCAACTAACCACTTCTTCGCCTAAAATCAGATTACCAGTTGGATGCAAAGCACAAATCTCATGCCTTCTATTTGCTGCAATAACGAATCCTCCTTTCAAGCAAAGTTCCTCTCTTGCAGTCGGATCAAAAATTACATTTCTAAACAAGAGTCTAGTAGATAAACAAAATAAGTAAAATTTACTAATATATAGACATTTATTTTTACAGACCTGGATTCCTAACTTTAAAAGCAGATAGGAAAAACAACAGTTTCATGCACCCCTAAATCTCAAAAACTACAAATAGTCAATAATTACCCGCCAGGAGCAATCCCAAATGTGACGCAGACTGGCATGTGGTAAATATTTAAAGGAATAGGCATCTTCTGATCTGCACTATGCTAAAATTAAAGTTTTTTAAAATGGTTTCTGAGAAATTGAATGATAGAACCTAAAAAAATGAACCTCATTTCCGATACGAATCTATAAACAAAATTAAACACACAAACATATGATTAAATAAGTACATATACATATTTATTTATTACAAAACCCACAATGACTATAGAATCTGTAAGAACTGTAACATCTGGTCTCCTAAAATGTGCAAGAGCACAAAGAGCAGCAATTGATGCACAGTCTGCTAAACTCCCATCAACGTCTAAAACATGAACGTCGACACGAACTTGCCACACCTAAATGAATATCCGTTTCACCTTCTGGCACATAACCAACCTAAAATGCCAACCACACTCTAATTTACCTGCTTGTCCACTCTTATACACAAGCTTTCCAAATCAATGACATTTCCGTCTCTAATCAAGGTTTCCAAAATTCGGGTCAACTCAATTCCTTGAACTCCCAATCTGCCGTCTTCGTGAGCAGGGGAGCCCATTGGTGACATATCAACTTGGATCTCAATAGATCCCATATGACCACGTACAGTCATTTTGGGTTCGACAACATTACAGCTGACACATGCAAACACTCTAAAGCGTAGTGTACCATAAAACGAAGAAAATTACAAACATCATTGTTTCAAATTTATTCTCTTAATCTTTACTTAGTTTTTCCGACGGTTGCGAGACACGTCCCCAAATCTTTTCCAACTACAACTTTAACCTCACGATACTCATCGCAGTTCCTGCCATCTACTCGAGCCTACAAAAGTCTTAAACGAAGTGACCTTTAGGCATTATTCCCAGACAAAAAACACCAATTGACCTACTATCAAATACACTTTTTTTAAAATTTCTCCAAATCTGAGAAATTTTTGGAGCATTTTTACCGTTAAACATAAATCAAATTCAATCTTTAAATCAAGACAAACCTTCCCCGTCGTGAATGACTCTAATATGAAATTCCGTTCGCAGTTTGACAATGGCTCAATTCTCATCCTGAACTTGCAACTAAAAATCCTAAAAACCTATTCCTGGTCTAAAAAGTTAAACAAAAAAAGCACTCCAGTAAATTAAAAGCAGACATCTTTTGTCTCGTTATTAGCACTACAGCTACACCCAAAAAGATACAAGATAACATGTATATAAATATGAGTGCAACCTTTATTACAAAACAATACACAAGTACAAACAAACGGCACAGAATGTGAGATCACTAAGACGCTTGTTGCATCTGTGAAATAGAACTCTGGATTTTTTTTCTCAAGTTCTCAACTATCGTTTGTTGTGCCCTCTTCTTTTCTGGTAAGATCCCTTCAACAGTATCCATCTAAAATGATATTTAACAGCATTAAATTTTTCCCTTTGCAAAAGCTCCAACCTTGAAGACCGCTTACCAACAATTCCTTGAATAAAGAAGCAGACATTTCAAAATCACCTCCAAACGCCCACTCAAGCATAACAAGTAAAGAATAAAGAAGGTAACTTTTAACTTAAGCTGCTATATGCGAGGAGAGTAAGAAAATTAAGACTTGAAACCTGTTTTCTTAAATACTCCTGCTTCCTCTTCAAATAATCTTTAGCTTGATCACTTTTCATCTCAACATAATAACCCGTCCCTATTTCCACAAGCACCTTGGTTGGATCAATAAGACGGGCCTTAACGTACATCTGAAAAGAAATAGTTAAAAATCCTTCAGACAAAAAAAAACGGAAAACTGAGCCACCAATTGACTGCATCAGCATATGAGAACACAACTATTACAGTGAAAAGAAAAACTACATTGAATTTTGGAAATACATACTGATTCAGAAAGCGGTACAAGCGCTTCCTTATTAGGCTGTTTAGGGTCAACTCCATCGACAGCAGCTTCGCTTGCAGCAAATTTCGCATGACAAGTCCTTAACTCCTGAAACAATCCTGCAAAAAGTAAAGCGAAATACCTTAGAAACAGCAGCGACTCTGAGTCAATGAAAGTAAATGATGGAGAATTTTTAAGTTTTCAAAAACTTTTTCTTCCAATATAATGTTTTAGATAAACAGATAAAGATATCTTGTAACACAAAACAAGCAGTACCTTCAAAGATTCTGTAAAGAACGTTATTTCCTGTTCTATTTGCCTTTGCAACATGGTCATTTGTTCAATACTTAAATCTGATATTGGTATCGCTTGTGGCTCTCCAGAAGCCTCCATTTCGGAAACTACAGGATTTTTTTTTCTTTTTTTTTTTTTGTTTTTTTGCAATAAAAGTTGTTGGGCGATAGCAACTGAAAGAGAAAAGAATACTGAAAAAAAATAAAATCCAAAGTCAACTCTAACGCGGTTCTAACCTTCTGATGCTTTACAATCAAATGCCTCAACAGTAAATCCTCATTTGGACAATAATTTACTGAATGTATTTCATATATTTCTTCTCTACTACTTCCCTTTTGCCTAAATAATAGGAAATGTGCTCTGTCACAGGCAGCGCTTTCTGCAGCAAGCCTTCAAATGTAACCTTCTCTATCGGGAGAAAGAAGAATGCTAAATGCACCTTTATTCTACAGGCTGAATATCTGCCGCAAACTTTTAAAATTTCCTCGCTGTTTTAACAAAAGAAAACAGTCAATATCCACCTCCAAGCCATGCAAAAAATCTGATGCAAAAAAACAATTCTAGCCAATATTGACAGACCGCGAAATTATCAAAACCAAAGCAAAAAAAAAGTAAAATTTTTCAATTTGTTGGAAGTTTTAAAAAATAATTTGGTCAGTTCGCGGAAGTGCCGTTTTTCTACGCAAGCGATTTAAAAAGAACATATTTTTTTACCTGTCATCCTAAACAAGCTGGATGACAAAAATCAACAATTATTTACTACCTAAAAATACGCTACTCTTAACTGCTTACACTTTGGCATTTCCTTCATCAAATGTTTACTTCAAAAAAACAAAAACCTCTATTCAACCTTTCTTAAAAAAAAAAGCAAAGCCAAAGCTACATGTTTCTTTAGTGAAGCATTTTTACCGAAGTAGGAAATTAAAAGTGACATCAAGAACTCACAGCGAATTCCAAGAACTAATTGTGGCAAAAATATCAAAAACTTTTAATGCTGATAGCGGAGAAAATCAAAATATAGAAAAATAAGGAAAAGCTACAAGTAGTGAAAAAATGTAGGAAAAACTGCCAAAAATACTATTGATAACTATACTTTACTGCATTAATCTCATCCTCACTAATTTCACAGTTTACTTTCGTTATCTATAATCACTTTTTTTATCATTTACACAACTATCCGCACTTTTGAACTAAAACATCTTCATCCATCTGAACAACTAAGCTTTAACCAGCATTTAAAGTCTCGCTCACAACCATACAAAGCCTGCTATTGAGGTCACTGCATAACCCACTAAAACGGTGAGTTTCGTATGCATTCCTCAAAATGAAACTATACATCAATTCATTACCTACACTACAGCGCATTCAAATTTAAAATCTAATCAACCATGCAACACTATTTGACTCAGTAAAAAACGGTATCCTTAGAGTTTAATATGGCAAACTTCAAAACATGTTTTTTTCTTTGCCAACAAAACCTTTTTGCATATATATATTTTTAAAAATGTCTGTTTTTCTATTGTTAGAAAAATCTATGTATTCCATTAGACTTTTTTAATTATCCAGTCCTAATATGCAACTTCAATACAAAATCTCTTTTCAAAATACTTCCTACAGCAGCAGAGGATCACAACCAACGAACTGTCGTCTTAGAGACGAAGAAAACTAGAATGCACTTACTCATTAATTTAACTGCATTCTTACCCCTACTTCCGCAACACTGGAAAATTCCTCACTAGGTAATAATGAGTTCTAACCAGTTATAATCATCAAGAACGATAACCAAAAAAATTAATTAGACCCTAGCTAAAGCAATCAAAAAACTGTTCAAGAGGATACATAAGTATCAGTAAGCAAAGTAAATAAACGGAAAAGTGGACAGATAGAATTGCAAACATATATATATATATATATATATATATATATAT